TTAAGATCCGAATGGGTGTTTACATGGACGCCAATCGGAATGGCGATCGGCAAAAACCACCTCTCTCATTCGGAATTAAATTTAGATCCGATCGGACCGAATTGGATTAGAATCTTCAGTTTGATATGTTTACATGAAACATTTTTGATCTGATCAGGCCTTCAATCCGATTAGTTGTGTCCATGTAAACGTAGCTATTGACAAAAACTCACACCTATGACTAGTCATGTTTTAGTCTTCAAAGATCCATGTTTAGCTCGTCAGTTTTTGTTATCGTCATGAAAAAAAAACGTCAACAAATTTCCTAAAGTTGCATTTTTCTGATACAGGGTTAGAAACGTAATTAAATGTTTTCACAGAGGTCTGAAAATTGGCCACATATAATAAGTATTATTAACAAACACACATTAAAATTAAATTTCAACAAAAAAAATCCAAATAAGCATCAAGATCTGCCATTTGAATCCAGCTTATGTTGCAGTTGGTTGAATTGAATCTATCTAAAGATACCACCTGACTTGGAGGAGGATTTGACCGTGTACTGTAGCCCTTCCTGTACCTGATCAAACGTGGTGATCAGGTAGAATGAATACTGTCAGTGTTTAATGGTGTGTTTGCAGCTTTGTTTCATTATTTTTCTTTTGCTGCTTCAGTGAGTTTTCTTTTCTCAAATATCATCCATCCAGACAGAGATTCTTTCTTCAAATATCCTTCCTGTCCACTGTCCAAAAAATGTGGATATTAAGCACTGATTTTATATATTTTTTACATTTAGAGGGGAAAAAAACTACTCTGAACCACATTTTCTGTGAGACAGTGATCCAACCTTGTCGCTCTAAGTATGTAAACATTCAAACTTGCACGTGTTACCCTCTGAAATCCCTCGGGAGCCATTGCTGACAACTAGAGCCGACCAGCTCTTGCATCTCTGTTGTGACACCTCTCTTCCTCTCGCCACAGTGACCTCGAGCAAGCAACAGGCACGTCACTTCACAGATGGATATGTTTACACTGAAACTGTGATTTGTTTTAGCATTCAGCCTGGATTGGATTGCCACAACATGAAAGCTACGGCTTCAGCCCTGCATATGAACCTGCTATATTAGGCATGTGTGTTTGTGATGGATGTCTGAGACCCTAAATATAAGAAAAAGAAAAAAAAATGTTTTTTTTTTTTTTGCACTTTATTTTTTGCTTTAAAGAAACACATAGCATTGCATCTTGTTAAATTTTTTTTTTGTTTAGACACATCTGGTTAGTTATGTCAGGTAAACCAGCAGAACTAATGTATTAAAAGCTGTGCCCCTGGATTAGCAGACTGGGGTTTTGATTCCCCTGCATAAGAGGGACCATAGAGCTTGTTCCAACTATAGGGGATCACACTTCTCAGCCTCCCCAGTAAGGTCAATGCAAGGGTGCTGGATGGAAGGGTCCGCCTGATTGTCAAACCTGCTGTGGAACAGTAGACCAGCTGTACACCCTCTGCAGGGTGCTTGGGGGTTTACCCAATTAGCCCACATGTGCGTTTTGGACCTGAAGATGGCATTTGACCGTGTTGCTCATGTTGCTGTCTGGGGGCCACTTCAGGAGTACACCATCCGGTGTCTGTACAAGCAGAGCAGGAGGTAGGTCAGCATTAACACTGACCTGTTTCCAGTTCATGTTGGATTCCAACTCGGCTGCCCTCCATCACCCATCCTGTTTTTAACCTTTAATGACAGGATTTCTACTCCCAGCCAAGGGCTAGAGGGGGTCTGGTTTGGGAACTAGTGAATTGCATCCCTGTTTTTGGCAAATTACATGGTTCTGCGGGCTCCCTCCTGCCAAGACCTATAGCGTGTACTGGGGTGGTTTGCAGCCTGCAATGAGATTTGGCTCAACCAAATCTAAGGAAAACAGAAAAGGGGCCCTAAGATGTTCTATAAAATGCTAAAAATGAAAGGGAGCAATTCTCAGCCATATATGAAGCGGACAGGATGGAAATGAGCTACTCCAAGTCCTAGGCCACAGTTCTCGACCAGAAAAATATGGCTTGTCCCTTTCAGTTAGGAGGAGAGTTCCTGCCTCAATTGGAGGAGTTCAAGTATGTTGGGGTCATGTTCATGAACGGAGGAGAATGGAGCAGGAGATCAGAGACCGATCGGTGCTGCTGATATAACACAGATGCTGTCGGAATGAGCTTTCTCCGCTGGGTGGCTGAGCACTACCTTAGAAAAAGGGCAAGAAGCTTTGTCATCTGGGATAGGCTTGGAGTAGAGGCACTTCATATTGAAAGGAGCCAACTGAGGTGGCTCTAACATCTTTGTCCCTGTTCTCCTGGATACCTTCCTCGGTAGGTGTTCCAGGTATATTCCTCTCGAAGAAGGCCAAGAGGATGATTTGGGACATGCTGGACGGACTATGTCTCCTAGCTGGCACAGGAGTGCTTCTGGCTTCCCCCAACCAGAGCTGTAGGAGTTGTCTGTGGAGAGGGAAGTCTGGGAGACTGCTGGCACTGCTGCCCCTTCAATCAGGTCCCAGATGAAGTGGAAGATGACAAGTATGATTATTACTGGGGCACTCTTTGAATTGCAGTGTTCTTACAAGGCATTGAGTGTATTGACAAAAGTTCATCCTTAATCCATGGGGTTGAAAATGGACCTTAACAAAGGTGTAATGGATTGTTTATTATAATGGTGTAAAGTGGGTCTGAAAAAAAATCTGATTAATCAATTACTGAAATAATTGTCAACTAATTTAATCATTTATTAAACATTAACTGTAGTATAGAGACTCTAAAACATGCCTTTAGCTGACAGAGCAACCCACTTGGAGTAATAATTATATTAAAATTACATAAAAAATACGTAAATATTTGGCATTTAAGATAAAAATCTTTTTCGTCTGTCAATATGCTCTTTCCAGAACTCCATTGGTGGAAAAGTTTGATTCACCTGGTTTAATTTGATAAAAATTCTTCTTTAAGGAACCTTTGGCTATCAAATTAATAATTGAAAAAATTATTGACAGATTAATCAAGTTGCAAAATAATCATTAGTTGCAGCCCTAGTGTAAATTTAAAGTCATTGACCATTGAGAGGAGTAGGGCTTAAAAAGGAAGAAAAAAAAGGATAGGATTGTGAATGTAAAGAATTTTAAAGGCTTTTAGAAATAAAGAGTAGAATTGTCAAACAGACTAACTTTTTTTCCGCATCACTTAAGTACTCTTACAAAACTGTTTTCTGAGGAAACTGCAGTGTGGAGGCTAGGAACAGAGCTCCAAACATTCTCAAACCCTCTAAATACATTTAAATAGCAAAGCTCTCATCAGAAGAATGCCAACAGCAGCAAACAGACTCCAAAATGACACACTGAAGTCCCTCACATGTTTTATTTATCTAACTGAGTGCCGTGTCACTCATTGTAGTCTAAAGTCTTGTTTAGCTTATCATATCAAAAGTACCAAACTGATCTCTGTACACCTAAACAAGTCATACCCAGCCTCATTCTGATCTTAAATCTGCAGCTCTGGGTATTTTACAATAACAGGGATTAAAAACTCAAGCTAGATTTTTGGAATGATAAGCTTTTAGGTTATACAGACTATTCTGTAGATTGTATCTTCTTCCAGAAATGTCAGATGGAATTGTTCAGAATCTCGTGTTTTGGCCCCTTTCTACTGCTGCACAAGTTGATGTTTTGAGAGCAGTATAAAAAAAAGAAGAAAAAAGATATTATGAAAGGAGACTTGTGTCAGTTTAGATATCATGAGACGGTTTTCTCTCAGCAGTCACAGTCAGTAGTCTGTTACTGCACTACTGTTTTCTATCTATGTATTAATTCTGTTTTTGTAAAAACATATAAATCTCTGCTCACCAAATTTATACTATTTCACCAATGACTTAATCTAATTGTTTTGTTCTTCCAGCCACCATTATTTTAAATGAGCTAAACTGGACAGATGCCTTGGATGATGTTTTCCGGAAAAACAAAGAGGAAGATGAGTCACTGCTATGGCAGGTATTTGGCTCTGCAACTGGACTGGCTCGGTATTACCCAGGTAAGCCCACTTAAGTCCAGACTGATGAATACAGACAAGCAGAATTTTTTAAATGATGGCTTTCTTCTTATATGAAAAAAATAAAAAAAGGAGAAAAAAATGTTTGAATGCTGTTTATTATATTTCTTAAAGACATGGACAGTTCTAAACAAGAGCCAATAGGGGTCAGTGCCCCTGTAGAACTGATCCTGTCCCTTGTTGCTGCCCCTCAACTTATCAACCAATTATTTTAGTTGCCTATTTCATGGTAAAGATTTTGTTTTACTTTAGGTTGATAAAACAATAATTTACAAACATAAACAGTCATGAAAAGACTGCATCCCCAGCTATAGTATATAGAGAAATAAGAATCCTTCAGAACTTCAAAATAAGAATTGCTTAAAAACTCAGATTGAAGGATTTGGTGTCTTTACAGTATTTTATCAGACTGCTCAATAAAAATCTACACGGGACCTAAAAAAAGAAATGGCTGTGGTGACGATGGTGATGATAATAATAATTATAATAATAATTGTATGGAAATGGTTTGGCTTTATCCATATGCAAAAAGTGCAAGGCAGCTTGAAGGAATTAATTACAACTTGCTTGAAATTGTTCATCACTGACATGATATTGTCAGTTGTAAACTTTTTAGTCTAACATTTATATTTGCAATTCCTATGTGTCATGTAATAAACCAATATTGTATTAATAAAATAAAAACACAGAATCTCGCAGTATAGTGAGTGTGTGGCCATATATTTCTTACCTCGTCAGACAGTGTAAGGCCAGTTTCCCAGGACGAGGCTATACTGTGGGGACTTACAGTATAGCCTTGTGTTTTATTGCAGCCGCTCGAGGGAAGGTCCTCTTCTTGGGTTGGTGGTTCAGTTTTGAATGAAGTTATGAAATGAGTTTAGGTTAGGGTTAGGAATATGTTGTTAAAGGGTAAGGTTCTGGGTTAAGCCATACAGTTAATGCAAAATGAATGTAAGTCAATGGAAATAGGGGTGAGTGATGATGCATTTAATTTAGAACAAATCAGATCGATCTTAAAAAAAAAATGGCCTAAGCTTAATGCAAAAGTTTTAATCCATTCATTATAATGAAGGACTGAAATGATAGAATTGCATTTTAAATGAAGTTGTGTTAAATCCATTTTATTTTGGTTGAGCCCGAAGAACTTGACTGTGAAGTAAACACTTTACTCTGCCAACTTACAGCCTCCCCCTGGATCGACAAGAGAAGTGCGCCTGACAAGATTGACCTGTATGACGTACGCAGGCGACCTTGGTGAGCTCATCGGCCGAGTTATAGAAAGTCATGCAGATACGCACAAATGCTTGTTAGTTAAAAATATTGTTGTCTTTCATAATTCAGTGACATCAAATCTGCTTTCTAGTGGAGTCTAGTCTGAGAAGATTTAATACAGCTTTATGGCCCTGAGAATAAAATTTATTTTACGGCCTTTTTATGTGTGTTCTCCAATTTCTCTGTTTGTTTCTTGTATTACTCACCAGGTACATTCAGGGGGCGGCGTCACCCAAGGACATGCTGATCCTGGTAGATGCGTGAGTGACAACCTTATGATTCATATATTACAGTCAGATTGGATTTTCTGTGACACGCCAGGAGGCCCCGATGCTAACTCTGAGCAGCTTCATCCCGCTGGGCAGCGGGGCACTAAGCTCATGTGTGACACTGACTAACAAAAAGCAGCCAGAGCACTGGCCAGCCTCATTATTTGCAGTCCAGTCATTTCCTACAGTGATTTAAGGCTGGAACTTTGAGTTTATTATAACCTCAAGGTCCATGAAGGACTCCTAGAGCAATACAAGAGTTGATAGTTGTTCTTTCTAACTGGAGATCTAAGCATTATTTTAAAAACATGTTTTAATAAAAACACATTTCATTTATAAAATGATTTACACAAAAATAACAACTCCCTCAGCTGTATACCAACTCCCTCAGATCATATATGGCAAAAAAATAAATTGCTGTATATGATCTGACTTATATCCAATCAGTTTTGTAAGGCGTGGATGATTATGCAGGAATGGATGCACAAGTGGACCCATTTACCCTGGGCAATAAATGTGTACAAACTGATTAGTTGCAGCTTAAGTGGAAACAATTTAAAATCTACTTAAAAAGGAAGTCTGATCCCTGCAGTTCAGTCAGAAAAATGATTACGTATTTCGGTCTTGTTTCTGGTAATTATTTAAAATCTATTGGTCATCTTTTAGAAAATCAGTGACACTCATACAGTTGTTTTAAGAAATAATTTTTCCAAAATGTGACTCATGTTCAAAAATGTACAATGTCACTCTGGGAAGAAGGAATATTTCCCTGCTGTTTAACAAGATAGGTGCACAAAAGCCTTAAACATTTTTTTCCTTATAGAGAAATTCTGAACCCAAATTGTCATAATTTTGGTCTTTTTCTACAGTAGCGACAATTGAAAAAGGAAAAAAATGACTCCTTCATATCACCTATTGTATGAGGAGACAAGATAAATTCACTGGCTTCATCGAACAATTCCATTTTCTTTGTAAATGTTACTAGTTATCTGACTACTGTACATTACTGAGCTGCTGATTTCTTGCAGCCATTCTGTGTTGTAAAGATCAAGAAACCTGTGCAGTATTTGACTTGCATATTTCTGTTTAATTTTGAAAGCAGTTAATAAATTACAGCAAATACTACAGCTACATTTATAAAGTTGTTTATGCGAAATAATCCCAATTATTCTTTGTGTAAATTTGTTGGTGGTGCCCCAGGTTTTTGGGATTGCAACTGGGATGTTTTTTAATAAATTTGTTAATTAGTAAATAAAGATTTTTATAAATCGTTAATTGCAGCCCTATTACTAACGATTATTTTGCAAATTGATTAATCTGTTAATTATATTTTTGATTAATTAACTAATGAACAGATAGCCAAAGATTGCTTAAAGAATACTTTTTGCGAAATTAAACCAGGTGAAACTTTTACCCATGTAATGACTACTACTTGTTGACCATTATTTCAATCATATTTAATCATGATTAATTAATTAATTAATTAATTAACCATTTTTTTATTTTAGCCCTAATATAACATTTTTTAGACAGAAAAGATACTGTAATAATATTTTTTTATTAATTTATTTTATGGATTTTGTCAGAACACTGACAGTGTCCTTGATTTGTTTTGAAAATGATTGTATTGACATTGTAATTGGTGTGATGTCAAAATATTTTCTCACATTTGGATTTAGTTTTTCTAATCAATGAAATGATAGCAAATCACTTAGACTCCATGGCCAGACAATACCTTACAATTTACTTCTAAAATTAATTCAGTCTGTGTTAAAACTATAGGTAGAAATTCCAGTTGCACATATTCTGTGCTTTTAAATCAGTGCTTAATTGTAAATAGATGTTGCCAAATTGTAAACCTCAATATCTAAGAGTTTAACCTTTGTCGATCCATCGATACAATTTCTATGCTGGAAATCTACCTGTATACCGTAGTTCTAGAGTTGAGTTCTGTACTTGCTTAAGAGTTTCGTTTACAAGCTTCTGTCTGTCTATAAAAAGAAATAATTTCTGTTTTGTTGGATGTTACTTTAGATTAAGTCAAACTTGCATGTGTTTCGGGCATCAACTTACATTTTTCTTTAACAATTTCTTTACCACAGGAGTGGAAGTGTTTCTGGTCTCACCCTTAAACTGATCAAACAATCCGTCCACAAGATGCTGGAGACCCTCTCTGATGATGACTTTGTAAACGTGGTTTCTGTGAGTACTCACATCAATGTAGTGATGGCATTTTTATTTCCCAGTTGCATGTTTTTATAAAAACATATGATCAAACACATTTAATTTAAGGAAAAGGGATTAGAGCATTTTTTAGCAAATATTTCAGTTTACCAGAAAGCTAAGCTTTCTAAACCTACCTGGTCTATTTAAAAAAGTAATCACCAGTTAATAGAATCTGAATTTCCTTTAATGGCAAAGATTATGTCCACAAGCAAGGAGCTTTACTTGGGTTTCATTGGTTCACAGAAGACTTCAAATATGTATATACACTTCAGAAGAAATAAAATTACTAAAATAAACATTATGTACATGCATGTGTATGTATAGCTGTTTCTTATGAAAGCCTCAGGGAAGAAAATGTGTGTTCTTTTTTTTTTTTTTACATATAGCACTTTGTAGACCTTACCTTAAGGTTAAAGTGTGGACAAATTTGCTTACAGAATTTGTTGTATCTGCAGAGAATTTAGCAACTCTTTCCTGACTGTACCCTGTACAGGCCTTGGATGGAGTGAAGGTCAGTCTGGATGATTCTCTTTGCAGGCCCAGTTGTTCATTGGAGTCTGTACCTGTTCTACTTTATGAACAAGCCAAACACAACAGGTATAGATGTAGGAACTCTTGTAAAATGGCCGTTCTGGGAGCTTATTCTTAAGTTGCTTCAAGAGTTACAGTCTCTGCTCGGCTTTCTTATAAATATTGTCTATGCTTGAGAACCATCTGTGGTCCAAAGACAAAATGGTGCGTGGTACGAGGTCCACTGTAGACGGTGTTTTTGAGGATGGTGAGTGGAATGGAGTTGGTGTGTTCTTGGAATTTCTTTGGGTGGAACACTTTAAGCATAAAGGGATCCTCACACAACTCAGAAGAATTGAAGCAAGGCGACATGTCAGTCGGTCCTGGAGGCTTGTCAGCAACTGACCAATCAGGGATAGAGATTTGTCCTCAAGTAAAGGGGCTCACTTTGACAAAACTGCCAGGATTTTGCATTTGAAGGGAAAGTGAAAATAGGCATTTTGTCAAAAAACATCTAATAAAAGGCTAAATGTTGTCAGAGGGAAGCATGCAATTCAGAAATGCTTAAACCCAAAGTACCTAGACTGAGAAACACAGTTCTACAGTTTTATCAAAACCATAAAGGAGACTTAGAAAATATAAAATATGGACAAAAGCCTGCTACTTATCACATAACCAGCTCTACACAACAGTTCTCAATGGAAGCTACCATTTGTTAATTTTAGTCATGATTAAATCAGTTCCTCATCTTTAGTTTGGAAACAGCTTAAGTTGCTAAATTAATTTCAAACTCTCAGTGTGCTGCCATTGGCTTCTGAAATTCATACACAGCCAGATTATACTGATTAAAAACATGCTTCAGATTTTCACCCTGTCATATCTATACTGTATTCACTCACAGCCATTTTGGTTGGCTTGCCTTCCTCTGGGCTATCTTACAGTTGGCTCCATGTCAATTAAGGATCTGAGGGATGTTGGAGCCATTTTGTCAGCTTAGTTTCTCAGGCAGAAGAGGGAAAACACCATCAGGTCCTGGAGCTTTTTAAAACTTTCTGCAGTGATCTTAAGTGTAGGCAGGGGGTCTTTGGGGCAAAAGGGTATGTTTGTGGAGTTGTTGAAGGGTCTGTTTATAGACCTTCTATGTGGGTGTGTAGGAATGGATTGGGAGCTTTTTTATTTTTTACCTCTAGGGAAAAAAGCTGTTGAGGTCGCCAACCTCGATAGAGCAGGAAGATGAACTCCTGTAATAAGTGATGTTGTTGCGTCATTACCTAATAGCTGTTCATGGTTCTCATTGTAGCTTCTCGTAACATTACCGTTCTATTTTTTTATATTTTTCTTACCTGTAAGCTGTTCTTATTGATCACATGCTGCTTCCTTGGATGTGAAGAGAATCATGGTTATTAATTCCTTGCATTTCGAAAAAAAACAGTAGTGAGTTTTTACATCACTCTGCAGGAATCTTCTTTGGCAGATTTCTATTAATTCTGTAACACGGGAGGGATTTCAAGCATAATTGACAAGTTTAAAGTTGTTAACTGCTGGTGAGCTTTTTTTGGTGGGGCTCTCACTGTTCCGTTTAGTTGTAGATATACATTATTGCAATCCGTTTTTAGAACAAAGGTTTGACAACTTTAAATCACATTAAATTCCAGAATGATGTTTTGCTTTTGCAATCTGATGCCCTACACTGTGTTGCCAGACAGGTTCTGTTTAAATTGTTTGTTTTTTTTCCAGTGTTTTTATTCAGGGTGTCTGAAAAGGAGGACACTTAGGTCACCCTATTTTATTGTCATTACACTGTCACAAGTACAGAGCAACGAAGCTCATCCCGTTGGTGAGCAGTGGGCAGCCATCGTGGTGCGCCCGGGAGTAGTGTTGGGTTAAGGGTCTTACCCAGAGAACCACAGTGGCAGTCTGTGGGAGTGGGGCTTGAACCCACAACCTCAGGATTCCAAGTTCTATGGCCTAAACTAAAACTGCAAAAAACGACCAATTGGTTTTTATTGTTGAAAATGTAAATTGTGTTGTTCCATTGGGAAAGTATCTTACTATCTCAATTCAAGAAAAAATACTCTATTTTAAGAAAAAAATTACTTAGATTTATATTTTAGATACTAGATACTTTAGATTTTTATTTTTTGCAGTGTATATCAAGGGGTGAATTGCTTTTCTATGTAGATTGTGGTTGGTTTGGATTTTTTTTCATTAATAAAATCATCAAAAGTGTAAACAAAAACCTTTTTGTATTTTCTCAGGCTATCTTTATGTAGTATAAATGTTTTTGTTTAAAAAGATAAAAGCAGAAGATCTCTGTAGGTGATACAAATATGTCTTACTTTTCACTGCCATTTACGTTAACTGTAGGTTTTATCAAATGGCCATCGAGAAGGATGCCCAAGTCCAAGTATGTCTGAGTGAGAAAAAATGTTCAATTCAAACCCTGAAAGCCGCTTTAAACCCTTTGCAAAATAAATCAACGCTGTGTCCCTCTGCCACATTTTAACTCTATGGGATGGAATGGAAAATGCCTTCCTTGGCAAATTGCGATTTGATAGAGATCTCAAGTACCAAAGGTTTCCTGGTATTCGAACTGAGGAAGCCTTCATCCATCACAATTTAAAGCTCCAATGACTGCCAGCCAAAGCATTTCTGCTCCAGAGCTATATTACTTTTATAAAGAAAAATAACAGTTCAAAGGGTGAACATTTTCCTCCAGTTCACAATGTTTGTGAGCTGTTGCCCAGACAAATTGGAGGCAATTGTGCAGATTTGGTTTGATACAGAAATCGCTATAGTGTCAAACATCTGAACACTAATTACTGTTTCTGCAGTAAATGTAACTGTTTTCCTCTTTTTGCAATCTACCTATGGCTTATTCCTCTTAAAAGCCTTTTTTGTGTAACAAGAATATAAAAGCTACTTTAAAAAGCCTTCAATTTAGGCTCATCTAGATGCTTTATTTAGGAAGTGCACATTGTTTGATCAGTATTGTTACACTATAGGATCTTGTAGTGAGCTCCTGCGCTCTATACATACTGCCATCAAAGCATGCAACATCTCAGCTTAATGCATCCCTCCAGTTTCTTGGCTCAGAGTAGGTTGTGTACTAGGATCCAACATTCGCTCTCCAGCAACTCCTTTATCCTAATTGCTTCTTCTTTGTCCTCCCTGCAGTCCCTTCTCATGTCTGGGAACTTAAATTTGCTTTCCAAATTATCCATGGATAACATTTTGTTTCACGTATTAAAGAAACTGGATTGTGTTTGTTTTTGTTTGTGTGGAACACTGGAAAATGGTCTTTTGTCATAATCTGTTTTATGTTCTTGGGTTTGGTCCAAGTACTGATGTGATACTATTCAGCATGGCCCTGAGTTAATTCATACTTTGCTTTCAATCAATCATATTAAAACTAATAAACCAAAAAGCATTTTTATCTTTTCTGCAATGACTTTTATAGATTTTAATGCACTTAGTATTTAAAGGAGATGGTTCTTAAGATTCTAATTTCAGTTAAACCTTTTTTATTAATTTAATTGTTAGTCTGGTTGTGATTAGTAGTAATTGATACAGCCCTCAACCACAAGATGTGTTGCCTTTCAGGTTGAACTATTTAGAAACATTTGTCTTTGTTAGAGTACAGCTACAAAGTTTAGTTTAAACTAATTAATTTGGATTATATATATAATAGACCAACACAAGGTGGAATTTTAAACTAAAGTAGAAGGAAAGAGATGAATTATTTTCAAAGATTTCTTTGTGCAAAAATATAAAAGATAATATTATTAATAATATAAGGTCTTTCAGTGCACGGTTTTGCCATATCTGGAGACTATCATCTTTGACCTTTCATCTTTAAGAAATGGATTACATGCAGTCATTTTCAATAGTATCTATGAACATCAATTTCATCTCTTGCTGCAAACAGGTATTCTTCCAATATTGGTTTTGTCATTGGCAGTCTAACATGTTTTAGATGCTCCCTTGAATTGGCAGATTCAGATTGTACATTTTGTTTGTATTTGATTCTAGATGTTGGAGTATGTTAAATGCTTTGAAGTTGACATAAGATCACATATTTTCTAAAAATATAAACCAAGGAAAACTGAGAAGAATTGGGTGTATTAGTCATAAATTTTTTTTATTATAATACATAAGAAATAGTTACTTGTGTAGGTCAGAGATTTTTTTCTGTTTAGACTGTAATGATAATTGGATATTCAAAAAGATCCCCAAAACAGATGCTAAGTACTAATGAGCCATTTCTAAACCCAATAGATGCTGTGTGTTTGTGTGTGGATTGACTCTCTTCACTCTGTTCCCCAACATTAGCAATTCACCAGTATTAACTTTGAGTTACTTTATATATGTAGTGTTCATTTAACTAGTTCTCCTCCTATAAGTATTAAGCTCTTTGTTTTTGCTCTTTTTTACCTCCATGTGCCACTGTTTTCACATTCCTTCAATCTTTCCTTCAAATCCTTCCTTTTGTTCTTTTAGCTTCCTTCGGTCTGTGAACTTTGATTACATTTACCCTATTTTTTCATTTTATACATGTCAGTTTGTGTTAGTATGTAGATCTCTTGAACATGGTTGTCTGCCATTGTTGGATTTTACGTTTAACTGCCATTTCAATCTTTCACCCTACTTATAGTTTATCATATATGTTTAAGGGACACTGTAACAAAGGAAAAAAACAACACATATTTAATAGAAAATATGTGCAAGTGCCTTCCCTGTTCTTCCCGTCAACCCTCCTTCCCTTATCCACCTGTAGTTCAACAAAACCGCCAAGCCTGTAGCATGCTTTGAGCACCTGGTGCAGGCCAATGTGAGGAACAAAAGGATCCTGAAGGATGCTGTGCAGAAGCTTAAAGCTGAGGGCATCACCAACTACACCAGTGGCTTTGAGCTTGCCTTCGCACAGCTTGCACAGGTAAAGTGTGTGTGGACTTTATTCACTTGCTACATGGTGCCTTTAAGTGGTGGCTGATATATTTTTATGTAACACCCATTTCCTTTGAAAACACAAGAGTTGGTGATACGCAGTGGCTGTAAAAGGTCTATACACCTCTGCTAAAATGCCAGATTTTTCTCTAAAACAAAATAAAACCAGAACAAATCTTTTCTGATTATTTCCATATCGAATATGACCTCCAACCTCTAAAACTAAAGTGAAAAATGAATTAAAATCAATAGAGCTTTATGATTAAATAACTTTGCCTTTCCCTGTATGTATGCCCAGATTTATTAGTGCTTTGGTTATGACCCTGCCTTAATAAAGCTAAATAAATTACTGTTCTAACCACCACTTCTGAAGAGGTCTGGTATTGAACTATTCATTAGATCTGGGTCTTTTTATGAAGTGGAATTTCTTAAGTCTCCAGGAGCTGATGTCCTGTACGTTTAAGTTGGTCCCCCTAAACCAATATGTCAGGGAACCACATTTTGGCTGTATTATATTCATGTGTTTTTGGTATACATCCATCAATGTAACAAATCATGGTTTGACAAAATGTATCTGGTCTTCCCTGTAAAAACCCTTTAATACTGCATTTCAGTTTGCAAAGGCATCTCCCATGTATATCCCTGAAACTATCACAGTATCAGCTTTATTCTTATTTTGCTTATGGCTGCCCTATTAGGCCCGGCATACGCTATACAATACTTTCCATCTGTACAATGAAATCAATGAACACTGATGCGATCTACCTGCTCCAACTGCACGTCCAAAAACCTCACGTCGGACTCAGCGCTGAGAGATGGTGCTGGTCAGACTTGTCAATCTGGAAGAAGAAGAGCTCCCTTGTTTGCACATGCACAGTGCTTGAGGTCCTGGTATATCATAAGAGCTGACTGAATTTCAAACATGTTTGATTTTCTCCCAACCTTACATTTCCTGACTGGGAGGTGATCGTGAGAGGCTGATCACCCCTCGTTACCCGCTATATGCTACACGACACAGCACACACGATGAGGCTGAAAGTGGGCCTGATCAAAAGACATTCTTGAGAATTCGCCTTAAAAAGGGCAAAAACATGTACAGTTTATGCCTGGCTTAACTAAAAAAAAATCTTTCTTTTTGTGATGATATAGATGTTGACTTTGGTTTGTCATGCCAAAAGTTATTGGTTGGCTAAAATGTAAATGCTAGAACTCTTAAAGTTTTCAGAACTGTTAATCTCTAAACTTTGACTAAAGTCCTTGTAGTTCCAGCTAAAAAAAATAGCTGCCCTAAATCACGTTTTTTGTATGGTAAAATTTTATCTCACGCTTTTTCGAACCCTACAACATGTTTTTGGAAAACAATATGGCAAATTTTTTTTAACCACCTGTCACTTGAACTGCACAGCAGCTCTTAATGCTGCCATAGACCTATATTGCAACTTCCCTGTCTAGTTCCCTGTTTTACTCATTTCATTGTGGCACCATATATTCTACATTTGGGGAGACTGTCTTCACTTTGTACATTGATTCACATAATGCCTTGGCAATCTTTGGCCTCCTTTTTTCTGATGGAAAGGGTTTATACAGATTCTCCCAATGCTTTAAAAACTGCCTTTGCTTTGCTGTGAAAACAAAGGAATAAAACCAAAAATCTGAACTTTGAGATGATAAAAATAAACACTTTAAATATGCTGAATGTTTAACCTGATCAAATTCTGAACACAGGACTTTATTTTGAGTTGTTTAACCAGAGGTGTTTTATAATTTTTAGACCCTTTTTATAAATTATCTTTGCATGAGTGAACTCATGTTCACTCACCATCCTAAATTTCTAATAAAGGCGAATAATCTGACATAATGTGTTCCTACTGAGTTAGTATTTGTCGCCCTCAACTGGTTCTTTGTGATATTGCACTTTCTCTACATGCACATTGATCATTTCTCAAGCATCAATGCAGCAGCTTTACTGAGCAAATTTAAGAGTTATTGCTTTTGTTTTGACCAGGCCAATGTGTCGAGGGCCAACTGTAACAGGATTATAATGCTGTTCACTGATGGAGGAGAAGAGAGAGCGGAGGAGATCTTTCAGAAATACAACCCTAAGCAAGAGGTAGGACTTTATTTGCTTTCACCTCAGTAAAATTTTGTCATCAGCCCTTTCGGCATGTTTGATTTAGTCTAATTGCACTTTGTTTACTTTACAGGTGCGCATTTTTACATTCTCAGTGGGTCAGCACAGCTACGACAAAGGGCCAATACAGTGGATGGCCTGCAATAATAAAGGTACCCAAAATGATCAGATCCCTGGTGTTTAGGTTAGAGACTTTGTTTTAGAAAGAAACTTTGCATGATTAATAAATTGCTCTTTTACTTTTCACCATGGAATGAACAAGGAAAAGTCAATCACAGTTTGTGTTTTGCTCTGCATGCCTTAAAAGTTTACATTAGTTCATATAAATGGAGCTTTTCCACAAAATTCATCTGCTTCATGTCATACTCAGCTGTGTTGTTTGTTTGAAAAAGCTCATTCATTGGCTTACATACAGAGGATCATATTCATTGTTGATGATGATGGGACACAAAAGACTTTGCTGGCATGCCACCAGAACAGCTGGTTGGAAGAAGGATTGTGTTGTATTGCTGTTTTTTAGGGAGATTTCATTCTAAATGTGAGCTTTTAGGTTTTTTTGTAAATTAAGTTCACAAATGTTAGACCTTTTAAGAAATCATTATACCAAGAAATCTTCCTAGTACTTTGTTTTTGCTTTAAAACAACAGGAGGAGATTTAATATAGCATCAGTCAAGTAATTATGCTGTTCTTAGGGATCTTTGTTGAATGTATGTCTCTGTTTTCTGTAGGTTACTATTATGAGATTCCATCTATTGGGGCCATTCGGCTGAATACTCAGGTAAACTCGGTGATGAGTTTACTATTTCACTGTTTTTGTCTTCCTGTCTTTGACATTTGGTCGCCCTAAATTGTTGCTCATATTGCCCCCCTGTGGTAGAACAACTGATGTTCAGGTTGCAAAATAAGTTTCTTTCTGGTGATTTTGGTAGGAGTACTTGGATGTTTTGGGTCGGCCAATGGTTAAAGCTGACAGCAGGTCCAAGAGGAAAAGCAAGGCTAAGGAAGTTCAGTGGACAAACGTCTACCTGGATGCACTGGTATGTTCTGTCAGGAAGTGTTAAAACAACCTCAAGGGTAAATAAGGGTACTTTTAAACTAAAACTATGGTGCAATACCAGTTTTATCATTTCATGTGAAGAAGTCTTAAGTTATTTGCTGTCGTGTTATCTTATTTTTGAGCAACAACAGATAAGCTTAATTTCCAAGTTTTGCTGTTAATGCTTTAGTTTTGATTTACTGCCAGGCGACAGCAGATAAGAAAGCTGACCAATTTTATTCGGTCAGAAACTGACCATTTAAAACACCATATCGACTTTCTTAGATTAAAAAATATTTTTAAAAGAACTGTACTATTTAATCATTCAGTTTTCTGATCAAAACTGCAAGGAGTGTTCTGCAGGTTTTTGTTAAGGCCAATTCTGTACATGGTTCTACTGTAACAACAAAAATATTGTTCCATTTGACAGTATTTACTTAAAAGCTGCTAAATTTAAATTTGTTAAAGGAAAATTCCATGTGTTCTTGACACTTTAGAAGGAAAATGTCATTTTAAAGTGTGGTGTGCATTAGCATTCTGCCTCCTTCACTCTAGTATCACAGAATTCAATCCTATGTAACTAAGATTTGTTAGAGATCACATTAAAGGAGAGTTTACATCAGAAGTAAGTTATAAAACAATTTCCCAAGTGTTGAACATCCAATGGAGTCAACGCAGTGTCTGAGCATGGTAAGGGAAACATGCAGACAACCTGTTTGAGGCTGTCCTGACATAGAAAGAGGTTCTCTTTAGGCCAGAGCAAGCCCAAACATTCTGCATACTGAATGGATAAGAGCATAGCCATTTGTCAGAACGGCTCTGTCAAAGTTCCAGCCCAAAATCCAACAGACAATCTGAGGCAAGACTTGAAAACAGATGTTTTTTCCATCCAATCTGAACTAATTTGGGCTACGTTTCAAAGAAGAATTGATCAAACCTATTTGTTTTGTAACAGGAGTAGTGGTAAACGTAAAAGATTTTTAATTTGAGTTTATTTTGTTGGTTTTACCAAATATTGACCAAGGCCTGAATGCAAATACATCAAACACTTTTTAGGTTTGTATCTGTCAAGTACCAGGGAAGCCTTCTACCGATTTCTATGGAGGCCTTTTGGTTTTGATGTTTAGATGGTTTAAATAACTGTTTAACCCAGTATGTTAGCTGTATGTTCTCTTCTATCTTCCAGGAGCTTGGTCTTGTAATCACAGGAACTATGCCCGTCTTCAACAAGACCAATACAGGCTCAAAGGTATCCACCAAATATGTTTTAAATAAAACTATTATACCACCTTCCCAAACACACAAACCAGATTGTTCATATTTTATCATAAATAAATTTAATGAACCATGGATAAAGAAATTGTCTTTGTCTTTGGTACTGGGGATTTTCACCGTGATAGTTTCCTTTTCTTAATGTTTCCTTTTAGATTCATCAAGAAAAGTAATATGAATGTAGAAGTCATGTGGTGTGTGTAATAGCATTTTTGCTTTTATCACAACAGGGTGTAATTGGTAACAATTAAAAATGCAGATCATCTCATTCTGGCATCTTTTTTATGTCTTCTGTTGCTGACTGTAGTTCTGACTGTAAATGTGATGCATGCTAGATTATAAAAAGATTAAAAGACAAACACTTAACATGAATACTTGCTTTTATCTTCTTGCTTCTTGTGGGTTTGACTCGTTTGCTCTGTTGACGCAGAGGTCCCCCAAAGCTCTCAACAAAAAGAAAATGTAGGATGTCACACAGCAGAATTTAAAGAATAGATCAATCATGCAGATCAGAGTGAGAAATGATCCGGTAGCTTAAATGCTTCAAGATGAGTCTACATGTCTACCTCAGAGGACTCGAAGCCTACCTCCAGTGCGACTAAAAGCAAGTCTGGAAATGCCTTCTCCGTGACTCACTGCAGCACATGAAGCTTTTGGGAATGAAACTGTCCAGATTTCTATTGCAACCATTTCCTTGAAATCCTTCACAATCCACCCAGGGAATTAACTCATCCAGGAAGAGCAACAGAACTCATAAGAGAGCCTCACAGTTACTCTTTCTGCAGCTGACATCCTCTCTCTTTTTCCTATGGTTTTCTCTCAGAAGTCACAAAACCAGCTCATCCTGGGAGTTATGGCTATTGATGTCTCCCTGGAAGATATCAAGAGACTTACTCCTCGTTTCACAGTAAGAACTCACAGGTCACACTAATGTGCATTAACTTGTGTCTGTGCATTTTATTCTTTATGCAGATGTTTAGTCATTAATTCTTGTTGTTGCTTTTTTTCCCCAGTTTGGTCCAAATGGCTACTACTTTGCTATTGATCCAAATGGCTATGTGTTGCTCCACCCTAATCTTCAGCCACTGGTAAGCAAAATCCCAGTTATTTTTAGAAACAGATTTTCCAGCAACCAAGCAATGCCCAAATACAAAGTTCAACAAGACTTAATTTTCAGTATATTGCCAGAATTAACCACTAAAATAAGTAGTGAGTATTTTGACTGTTATGTGCATTGATTTTTGCCCAATCTGGACAAACATGCTGGAGAAACTATGGTTTACTTCTACATGCAATATATGTCTAAAGATGGAGATTTTGCAAAATAGCTTAAGACTTCTTTGTTTGACCCAAGAACAAAAATTTCAAATAATTTTCACAGATTCTTGGTCAGATTTAGGCCTGAGCTTTAACTGGCCCATTCTAAGACCTGAATGTGTTTTGATCTGTTGTCCCATTAAACAGGTTCTTCTTCTAGATTGTCATATACTTACTGACCAGTTCACTACATGTACCTCCAACTACCATATGTCTTTATGCTAATTGAGCATTTGGGATGATGTAGCTTAGCTTTTCTCGATCTCTGCAGCTTCTCTTGTTTTTCTTTAGATCGTTTGATAGACTTTTTAACTTTTTGTTGTTGTTTTCGATCATCTACTTACAGGATTTTATCTGTAAGTTGCAGCCCTAGTGTGCTTTCCTTTAACAACTTGCGAAGTTGGTCGCAGGGGATTACATGGTGTTTCCTCCTGATTACAGTATATACCTCTCTAAAGCTTAAAAAACGCACAAACTTACCTTTATAAAGGGATCAGCACCTGCTGTTATTTTTTCCTCTTTTTCTACACATAACCAACCAGTTCTAAGAAGTCATTTAGTTTAATTTTTTTCACAGACTGCTAAGTTTGATGAGCCTGTAACACTCGACTTTCTGGATGCAGAATTGGAGAACGACATCAAAGTGGAGGTTTGCAGCATAAATGTGTTGTCTAAATGATTGCACAAACTTAAATCAAACCCTGGTGTTCTCATATAATTAATATTTTTGCTTAATTGTTTTTTAAACAGATAAGAACTAAAATGATAAATGGAAAAACAGGGAAATACACTATATCTACATTGGTGAAATCTCATGATGAGGTAATTCTTTTAACTTCTGAGTTCATACATTTTTATTTTTTTGGAAGCCTGATTAACTAACTGTAACTGTTATCGTTTAAGCGCTACATTGACCAAGGTCAGAGGACCTACACCTTTGCTCCTGTGAATGGAACAGACTACAGGTTAGATTTAAGTTAACTTCTTGCTTTCTCATACACATATGTAATACTTTTAAATGGATAATGGATCTCATTGGATGAACCCAAAACTTCCACTATAAAAAGTTACCTGACTTTTAATTACACTGGTGCATTAAATGGGGGGTTGTTTCTCAAATGTGTTCAAAAGATTTTAGACTATTTTAGGACATGTGCAGCATACAACTACCTCTAAATTACCATTAAAGTATTGTTTAGGTGATTTAAAACTGTTATTACCCTGCAAACACAGTTACATCTCTTTAAGATCTTTTCTTTAATTTAAAATTAAAACCAATATTTTATTGAGATTTTCTGTATTTTCTCTGCAGAGTTTAGATCAGATGTAGGAATACCATTAAGATCAAATGGGTATTAGTAACTTCTGGCATTGAGGAAACGTCTGTTCTGCATTCTCTGGACTCGTTTATCTTCCCTGTAAATTACAAAATTTATTTTTGTCTGGGAAAAAGAGGAGCCTTTTTTTATTTAGTCCAGCTAATACACTTCTGGTCGTAGGGGATGTGCTATAGGTCTGTCTAGGGTGACTTCTGGAGCTCTGGCTCCAGCTGCATACCACACCCTGTGACCCTTTCCCAAACTCTGAAATGCTTTCTTGTGTGGCTTACCCTAATGGTGGAGGGTAGTGTCGCTGGACTATCGGGTCAGCCCTATAATTGAGTAAGCCATAACAAACTATTTCTATATTAGACATTTTGAACTGGTTTTAAGTGATTAAATTTTAGAGAAAACCCACTTTGGTTTTTGTTATTTATAAGCCTAAATATCAAATTAACAGTAATAAACTTTTAAGAAAAAAAAGTACATTACATTAGAAGTTCCATTTCTGAATTGGAATTAATGCAACATTTTTGTATTATACATTTACTGTTTATTACTTTATTAATAACTGCCTTTAGTCTAGCAGTGTTGGAGATTGCAGTTTATTTTTATTTTCACTAAGGCTGCAGTCACAGTAGTCACAATAAGCAGTTTGACCAGTTCTGATCTTCTTGTCGCAACAAATCAATATCTCCTCCCAAAGCCATTAGTAAAAGTCAAGTCAGGTAATATAAATTACATCAACATTTACTTTCTCTTTGGGGTTAATAAGATATTTTTGAATTAAATAGAAGCCTCAGTTAGCCAGCCTAAAGGCTGCTGAATAATGCGTCAACATTTTACTGCCTCTTTTTCCTGTTGAGTGCTTCTTACCTCTTGATTGTAATTTATGGTACTCTGTTTCTATAGTGGTCAAATAAAGGGTCATTGCATGCTTCATTAACACAAACATTTCCTCCACCTGTTAAAACTCCTAAGATAATTTCTTGGCCCAATCTTAGCTGTTCGGCAAGGGAATTTTATTCTGATTCTGAATTATCCATATTACATAAACTTATGCTATGAGAAAACTATAAAATTCAACTACTTCCAATTGTTTTGGATTTGAAATAAAGAATGTCTCCCATTCAAAATGAGAATGCACACAAGTTAACTCAAAAACTGTCGCTTTGTACGCAGGTAGCTTATAAAAAACTTGAGTTTTGCACTAATTACTGAATAAGAGATATGATATGTTGCTGAATTAAAGGCAGTGTTTTAATTTCTCTTTTTCTTTTCAGCCTGGCCTTGGTTCTACCAGACTACAGCATGAAATACATCCGTGCAAAAATAGGCGACACAATAACCCAGGCAAAATGTAAGTTAACATTCATATCACTGAAAAAATACTGGTGCATTTCTTTATCACATCAAATTTTGATTATTAGCTATAGTATAAAGATGTTAGGTAAACAGTACCTCCTAGCATGGTTTACCCAAAATCAATGCTGTCCTAAAATAAAAGACTCCTACAAAGTAAAACTGTGAAGCACCCATGAACATCTACAGCACTCGTCTAATAGGTAATAGTATTTCCTAGTCACTTATTACACTCATCTTTGGTGCAACTGAAACTATTTTTTTTATATCAGCACAGAGAACTGTCCTCCTTTACATATAACGTAGTTCCTTCACTGTCTGGAAAAGTGTGCAGTTTAGCTTAAGTATTTTCCAGGGGCCGCATGTACTAAGAGATGCTTGGATTCCCAGCTGATACCTTGTGTACGCTAAAGTTGAGAGAACTGCATGCGGACAAACAAATCCAGATGTGCGATTTGTGGCATACACATGGACCGAGTGCAAGCTAGTAAAAATGCAGAAGTGTGCATAACTGAGAATAACCCCCCTTGATAAGCCTATGTTATGTTAATAGAAATGTTGTAAATATGTTCTGCACCTGTGGTTATTCTGTTTCATGATCTGAAACAATGTCTTGTGTGAGAAAAAAACGATTGTGAAACACTCCCACTTAAATAAACAAATAAATAAACCGGACTATCAGTTATTCTTTGTTTAGAATCTAACTTAATGCTATAAGCAGCGCAGATCAGGGGTATCCAAAATGCAGCCCATTGGAGGGGAGAGTCTGTTGTTGTTGAAAAAAATTCAAAACTCACACAACTAATGTTAAGAAAATGAAGTTGATTAATGTTCCAAGCAGCAAACTGTCCAGCCATGTTTTCCGTTAGACTGAATGAATGGTGCATTAAACAAAGTTTCATCTGCACCAAACATATTGTCCTTTTACTGAAGGTGATTGCTGTTTGGTTAGCAGTACACCTCTCTGGATAAGCTGCATCCCAAAACGATAACATTCTAAGGCACTGAGTTTCTATCTTGGATCAAAACTTTAATGTTCCTTCTTAAGCTATTAATCATAATTGATAACAAAGAAGATAGCATTTTGTTTTATTTTCTCTGCTTCATATTTGCACTGTTTTATATCAACTCATCAGTTATACATTTGATAACTTTTTTGTTCTATACTGAATTTCCAGGCATACCCTCTAGGTGTCCCCAACGAGCAGATAAGCACTTTTTGTACATGTGGCCCATAGAAGAGAAAAAAATCTTTATATTTATAGATTGATGGTCTTTCCCACTATTTAAATCCACTTAGTCATCTTTCAGTAGATGATCTAACCTTTATTGGAGTATCATTTGTATATTCATATATATGTTGACAACTAGTACTTTTAAAAAATAAGTGAAGATTTTTCTGTGATTCTTGAAGTCAATATAAGGATATCAATGTAACTTTGCTTATTCTTGGCTAAAAAGAGGACTTGATTTATTTTATGAACACGTTCTCTAAAAAGGTTGACATCATTTTTTTTTATATAAATTGCCCCACCCTATAGTGTTCTTCAATGTTTGGATTTTTTCCATTTGGTGTTTATTATGTTGTTGTGTTTGGGTTTTCATGCATTTTTCAAACGGTACAATGTTATCGGCTATTTTGGGGGGAAAAATAAAAATACAAATTTGGGTGCCCAGTCTGTGCTTTTAAGATGTAAAAATAAAGTTGGCTGGCATATGTAGTTTTGTTTCTGGCAGCCTTTTTATTGAATTAAGTTGAAACTGGGCTGAAAAAGTTGGAAGGCCTTAAAAGAAACTCAAACAGATTTACTCCCAGATTATTAAAGTGAGCTGTAGAAAATGAGTGGGAAAACGGCTCTTTTTCATCATCTGAGTGGCAGCAAGTCCAGCCCAAACCTTGGATTATTGAAATTGGAGACTTTGTCATTCAGTTAACCTTAAAGCTATTTATCTGCCCTTAGAGTATGTACAGATTTTATCATTTAACATTAGGGGAAATATAGTGTTTGCACAATAAGGGAAATCTGTCATAATGCAATTTTAGTTGTATCTCGCCAAGTTAGAATGTCTTCAAAGCATTGCATACTTAAGTGATTCAATTTAACAAGTGTGTTTTATAGATTGATTTCTCAGATGTTGTTATAATGACAATGTTTTTGTTTTCTTTTGTTGATGTTCATTATAATTTATCCTAAACCACTTATGAGCTTTACCTTGGTAGCATCTTAAACTTTACCAATCTAACCAAGTTTAAAATTCCCCCAAAATTAAAATGGATAACAATTTTTAAATCATTGCAATGCTCCTGCTTCACCTGAAATTAAACACTTTTCCTTCTGTATTGTATTCTTTTAAACTTCTGCACACAGTATTTGTATTAGATATATATTTAAATAGGGGTAATTCTCCCAGAGGCATCTCTTTGCATGCAAAGCGTCCCACCAGTGTGTCGCAGACAGCGTGTTTGTGTCTCCCTGTGTGAGAGTGCCTGTATGTATCAACTCCCCCACCTGCTCGGTCTGTTCCAACGACCCTCAGATGTGGTTTTGGCAAAGGCCCACTGTAGCAAGAAGAACAGACGAACAGGATGTTTGCATTATTTAAAGGTGAAGCCATAAAGGGGAAAGCTGTGAGTCAGTACAAAGAGTATAAATTGATGTTTTCTTCAGTTTCTCTTTTTTTTCTTTGACTCATTTTGTGTTTTACAACTTTGTTACTCCTAATGAAAAACAGGAACTTTGAACACAGACAGCTTGATCTGTGTGTCCCTCTAAATGCTTTATCATCAATTTTTCTTTTTTGTGGGTGTTGGATCAAAGATCTTCACAGCACATTAAGCTTAGAGGTTTATCTAAAACCTAAGTCTGACAGTGTCATTTTATTTATTTAGTTTTTACTTCACTTTAATCAAAGCACTCAAATTAACCAAAATCACTTTCCTATCCCAGTTTCCTCATCTTCCTCCTTGTTACATTAAAATATGACATTGTATTGTATTTAATAATGTAATAAACCACATAACTGTATGGGTAAATAAAAATATAAATATAAGGCACATATGCTGCAGCTCCATTCACTCAGAAGTCCTCAAATAATTTCAGCTTGGAGATGATTGATCAGATAAAATACAGAGAGTCCAATGGTGAGTCTGGAGGAGGAAACACCATTGTTCGTTCACTCCTGTGAAAGAATCTATTAACACAATAATTATCTGTTCACTCAAAAAATCTGGCTCTAATGGAAGGAAGCTATATTTTAAAAGTGATAAGACTTTGAGTTTGTAGTTCTACCATAAACCTTATTGTTGATACTCAATTTTTGTTCATGAGAAATAATTGTTTTTTTTTAAACTATACTCAATTTGCTATTTTTTTTTATGGTATTGCATAACGTCCCACTAAAATACAGCAAAATCTGTTGTAATACTGTGACCAAATGTGCAAGAGTAAAAGCGGATTCGTTTTCCAAGTTGCTACATTTGTTATATGTTTTAAATAGTAAATACTGTGGAGTGAATATCTTTTTGCTAAAGTCGAATACTAGTTTTGATTGATATTGTTTTTACACCAAGAGTAAAGAAAAAATGATGGTGTCACTCCCAATATCTCACCACTGCTCATTATGTTGAATTATTGAGGTATGACCATCTATCAAAGCTTTTCTACAAGCTGTAATTATTTTCTGAACATGGCGATCAAAGAGGAGTTTCCATTTCGTCATGAGAGATGTAATAATTGTCTGTAGTTATTCTTTTTTTTTTTTGTCTTTTGGGGAGGGGACAAACACAGTTTGAGCTATGGTGAATGTTTCCACTAGATGTACAGAAAATCCATCAAAGTTTGGTAACTCCTGAGATTTACCAAGTCATCAAAAGATGCTAATTCTGGTTCTAAACTTCATCCTCTGACCACACTCTAAGCCTAACTGTATGTTCCCCATCAGCACCATCTGCATCCAAGGAACCAAACTCTTTTGTTCGCTTTGCAATATTTATATTCAGGACTCGCTCTGTGAATAAAATATTGTCACCTTTGACCTGTGTGGTTTCACCCTGTCTTTTCTTCCCCTCCCTTTTCTTTTCCTTCTCATCTTTACCTCCCTGGGGGATCCTCGTGTTTGTTCGCTTTCTCTCCTCTGGGATTATTCCTACTCCAGGGAAAGAGGGCAAGTATCACTTCTTACTTTCATCTCTGTTCTCCTAATCCTTGCCCTGTCAACCCTTAACGCATCTCTTGACGTCTTTTATGTTAACTTTATTTTTAGAGGTTTAATTCTGTGCTGTGTTAACTTTCCTCAAGGTTTGCTCCTGTTTAAGCTCCTATGAACTAAAGCCATTTGGTTTACATGTACATGCACTGATAAATCTCCATTACAAATAAGGGTTACGATTAGCAGGAAGTTACTTTGGACAAATAGCAATGAAATTACAGAGGTGTTTTAATCCTGTTGCTATTTCAGATATCCAGGAGGCACCATTATCCTCCTTCCTTCCGGTTTGCACAAGAGCACAAACCATTTTGTGCCCACTGTACTCAAACCAATGAGCATTTTATTCATCAATAATAATGGACATAAAAATATAAACTGTCAAAAAAAAAGTTGTTTAAATTCTTGATATTTCCTTATTTATTCTGGTTTTCATCTTGGTGAGGTGATTCGAACAAACAATTTCTTTGACCCAATGAGCGATCTCCACATTGCCTAGTAGCAGAATACGAACGTATTATTGAAAATAAGTTGAAATTGTTTTCAAAGCATGAACAGAAGATATCCCTTATGCGTATTAACTGATGCCTGATTGTCATTTCCTGATCTCGTCCCTAGTTTCTGAGAGCCTGCTTGCTGACAATTTTGATGAATATGGGTACACATTCATTGCACCAAGGTATGTTTACATATATAAAGCAAAATTCTTTGATTTCCAAGTGCCTGACTGTGTGTGCTTATAAGTCTGATTTGGTTTTCCTTAGAATGTACTGCACAGACTTAAAGCCTCCTGACAAGGAAACAAACAACACAGAGTTCCTGATGGACTTTAACAACTATATCGATACAAGGACTCCAAACGATCCTTCGTGTAAGTATAGCCACCCTGTTTCTCTGCAGAAATGAAACATGCAATGGATTAAAAAAGTAACATTTTTAATTGCAGCAACGGACGTATGTGAGAGGCTCATTATAAATTAATTCTGACGGGTTTTTTGTTCTTAAAAGTTTGGCATATATTTTTATTCAGCTTTGATGATTTAGTATTTTGCAAACTGTTGTCTTTGCAGGTGTTGCTGCAGACCAGTGGTTTTCAAACTTATTCCTCGGGACCCCCTGCATATTTTAGAAGTGCCTCTGCTCTAGCACACCTGCTCCAAATAATTACACCCCCTCCTCAGCAGCCACTACAAGCTGCAGGGGTCTACTAAGCCCCCATTTATTTAAGTCAGGTGTGTGGTGACAGGGAAATACCTAAAACATGGAGGACAGTGGGTCCTGAGGACCTAGTTTGAAAACCAATGCTATAGACCAGGGACTTAAAGCAGTCCCTATAGGGGGCGCCAGAGCTTTTCAGGGGCGGTAGACTGACTGTTATATAGCTTGACACCAAGTTGGAGCATCACAAACTCATACATATATGTAAATTAAATAATAAAAAATACATTTTAAATATGTATGATATATTGAATACTCCCGAAGTATTCGTTCTGCAAAGTAAAAAGATATTTAATGTCATGCAGTCTTTAAAATAGATTTGTTCTGTAAACTAGTTGCACCAACAGCCCTGAGTTGATGTTATATACCTCATAGGTTAACATTCTTAAAACTTAGTGTTGAAGAGATCGGAGTAAAAAAAAAAATGCAGAAAATGTTAAAAATTTATAAAATAAATAGTTTTAAGGATAAAGGGGACAGCTATGTGTAATCAAAAACTTGTGACTACTGACCATTTTGTAAGGAGTAGGGGGGTTGTCTATTAGTTGTTTAAGGGAGGCTTACACTCCCACAATTGGAAAACTGCATTTGACCTTTGATTACCAAAGTTGGGGCCATTGCTCAACCAGTATGTGGTTTTGAAATCTAATACAGAAATTAAACTAAACATCTCGTTAAAGTACTTAAAAGAATCTCTTTAAAATTGATCAAACTAACTCCTTTGGTTGATGATAGTTGATAGAGTTATTACCTCTGTGGTTAATTGATTTTAATACTCTACAAATAGTTTGGGTCCTGAGTCGGCTCTTCTTTGCAAGTAGCTGAAGCTCAGTATGATTGGATGGAAATATACTTTAAACACAATTTCATGCTTTCTCACTAATTCTCAGTAAAAATTAGTGCTGGACTTAAGCGGGTGGTGTGATCTAAACAGATCTAAGCAGGTTATCCTGCTACAAGATGAACCTCCAGGCTTTTACAGCCCCTTTGAAAGCCTTATTCCAATCTTCTTGTTTCTAGCTGCTCCAATCTTTCCCTGCAACTTTAAAATTCTTTCGAAAGTCTATTTTTTTTTCTCAACACTCCTCCACCAAAGCCACATTTCTAGATTTCTCCAACTGAGCTATGGAGCTCTGCAGACATTAGCTCTCCAGAGCTACTATGAGCTTCTTTATAGCATTTCTGACCGAGACAGATTGTCACTTTTGTTCTCTCAAATGTTAAAAGCTTAGACTTTTATTTATATATATATATATATATATATATATATATATATATATATATANTATATATATATATATATATATATATATATATATATATATATATATATGCTTTAAACTTCTGTCTGGATTTATTTTGTCTGGTCAGTTGTGCTCCATGGTCCTCATGATACTGTTTGTTTAGCGGTATTCTCAAACAAACCTATACAACCATTGCTGAGCTCGTTTTTTTTCTTCGGTTTAATAGTCTAGGAATTGAATACCAAAATTTCACAGAATATCCCTATAAAAGAGAATAAAGTTGTTTACACCATAATAAAACAGGAAAATGCTTGATATGCTTTGTTCATTTATCTTTTTAGTGTTTGCTTTGGTGAATTCAGTGACTAAATTTCTGCCATCCAACTTTTAGCAATAAAGATTGCATTGGACATAAAATGTGAGGGCTTCAAGGAACTGTGCAGCCAAATCTGTCATTTGTGTGAAATACAGGATTGGTTGAATGGTTTAGTGTGCATGACCTGGCAAAGCTTTGTAAAGTGGAACCTTTTTCCCTTCATGTTACCTATTTGATGCTAGCTCCAAAGATCTGACCATATCATGCCTGGCTGCACATGTGTGAAGCAGGTCGGCTTAGCTGTGACACACACACACACACCAGCTTTCTTGGTCACACACACTCTACCAGTTACATACCTCTCACACCACTCATGCAGCCACTCGACCTCATCCAATTACTGTGTGTTTGTGAAAAAGAGCAGGACACATGCAGCCTAGAGTGCGAGCAGAGCAATAAAACACATATCGGGTCCGACAGACCTTTTACTTGACATCTGACCAACACATTACCATCCTTACCCTTGCTTAAATACTCTATTTGATATGAAGTATTACTTGGGGTATTGAGCAGAGCAAAAGTTCCCTGGACATTTATAAAAGGGCTCTTTTATTGCGTTCCATTGTTTAATTTGATGGTTTGCATTTAAGGACTTACTTCAAACATCTCAACATGATCAAACCAATAAAACTTTTCACCCAGTTGAATTATTACTTTCACCGTTATTAGCTGCTAGTTTAATGGAGTCCACAGAGAACCACAAGGGAGGGAGAGGAGTGCAGTCCATGTGGAGGATTGGCGGCTCAGGCATCGTTACACGCTTTACGCGGTTAAGCCACTGCAGTGGCGAAGAAGTACATTAGGAATTCTTGGGCTGCCTTCAATAAAGAATCCCTAATGAAAACCACTGGATGGTGGGCTGAGAGGAGACCAAAGTGTTACGCCAGCTGTTCTGTCTGATGTGTGAGGCGTGCCATAAAGACTGGAGACGGTGGTGGTGGAGGTGTATTGGCGAACTCTGACGTTTATGGACTGGAGCGGGTGGATGGAGGGTTCAAAGAGCCAGGAACGGCCAAAAAAGGGGCAAATCCCTTTTATCAGCTCTTATGTTTGTCATGTGGTCTTGTTGAATGTCTGCAAAAGTATTTTTTACACTTGCACCACCTCACCACCTACACCACAGCATTTTGAATTGCAAATATTTTTTTCCTACTCTATAGGCAATTTTAGTTTCGAAATTTGATCATTTTGGGGTTATTCTGGGAAAATGTAGAAAATGTTTTTTCTTGCACAAGTTATCAGTTATCTCTAGTTTTAAATTCATTTTATTTTTCTAAATCTTTACTTATTATTTCACTTCATATTAGATGATGTATTTTTTACTTTAAGTGAACTTTGTTTTTGTTTAGGTAATGTAGAGCTTGTGAACAGACTTCTCCTTGATGCCGGTATCACTGCTGATTTGGTCAAATTCTGGAAACAGAATGAGTTTGAGTAAGTAAAGAGGCACTATTTACTGTTTGGCAATGCAGATGGTTTGAATATTTCAACATCAGCAGTAAATGTCAAGTTTCCATAAAGCATATTCCAGGTTTTTGTTACAATGTTCTCATAGCTGTAATTTTTTTCCACCTGACAGACAAGGTATCGTTGCCAGATTTGTAGCAACTGATGGAGGAATCACTCGCGTCTTCCCAAAAAGGTATATAGGAAATAAAAAAGGGGGGTAAAAAAGTTTTTATTTTAATGAAAAACATGCACCTTGACTATACAGTCAAATGTTCATCAACAGCTCTTGGAAAGATAATTATTGTTTTATTTAGGTATCAAATTTCAGATAAAAAAAAAGGTAGAAAGATCCTACATTTTATTTTAATCTATTAATCATGAGTCCTGGAATTACTAATTTAGTATTCTACCCTTCAGAGGTGTTCTATAACAGTACTTTTGTCTTCAGGGCCCACTGTTCTGCACCTTTTAGGCTTTTCTTTGCCTTGTTGAAGCACCCAGTGATGCCCCATTGCCAGTTTTTGCAGAACCTATGACGCCCATTTTGCTCAATAAGCCCTGCTGTTTTACTGTTTCTTATACCATGCACCCCAACAAGGCCCTTGGAAGTATACCACATAGTGTCAAAGCTCCTACACTGTACTTAACAGCAGGTGTGATGTTATTTTCTGAAATTATTTTCCAACAGATACACCTTGAAAGCTTATTGCAGAAAAGCTAGCTTTTGCACTGTTCTTGTAAATGTAAAGTGGATTTAAAATATTACAGATTATTACCACACTTAATCTTTTCTGTGCAAAGCAAATGTTTCCAGTAAAACTCCTTGTAGCATCTGGCTCTGAATTATTTTTCTTTTTTTTATTGTTTAGGCGTGCATCCCAAACAAGTAGTTGGGATGTGGACAGTCACTTTATTGAGACTTGGGGGATGATCTACTGTAGCTTTACATAAAAACATGTGCAAACTTGATATCGAGCACATAAAGCTGATCTTCTAACCAGAAACATATTCATTAAACTGTTTACTTTCTTTCACAGTCTTCTTTAGAAATTCAATTTCTACCATTTATTGACTCTTTCCCAAACCATTGTTTCCCCTAAAGAAAATTCCATGCTATTCAAAATTTATTTGCACATCAATGCATGGTATACATTTTCCGTATTTTTTTAAGATCCTTTTTTTTTCTCCAGACAATATTGTTTGCTTCTATTTATTTGTGTTTTTTTGTTGTTTTTTTGCAAAGATACAGGGATTTTCTGTCTATATAAATTAAGGCAAACTTTTGGGAAAATGTACCTGTCTGTAGTCAAAGCTATTGTCTTAACATTATATACAGGAATAACTGCTAAATGTAAATAAACTTACATTTCATTGTATGGGTAATTTCTCACTTCATAAGTGTTGTAGACTGTTAAAATTTGAATTTGTAAAGTAAAATATTGATTTCACTGTGTGCAATTTTAACAGTGCAGGGTTGGACTGGAAAGAAGAAGCAGAGACCTACGAGTCAAGTTTCTACAAGCGAAGTTTAGACAATGATCTGTACATGGTCAAACCAACTCGCTACAATGGTAAACTTGCAAAAAATATTCTTTGCCTGCATCACAGCTGCATGTTTTAACCCCGCCAAGATGATGGGTATCATGCAGAAGTCTATTTCACGAAAACCAAGATAATCTGGGTATTCTGGCTTGATTAAGCCTTAACTCAACTTCAAAAAAGCAAGAACACAAATGACTAAGGTGATTTATTCTATGCAGCTAGCATGCTCCAGGTCAGACTAAGTTTCCTGAATTTTACCAGGGATTCGCAAAAATGCTTTTAATAGTCTATTGAACGTGATGAGGGGATTAGAGAAATGTCTGATAAAGAAGCAGAGGTGTTGTCCGTAAACTCAGGCCATGCAAGTAGCTCCAAACATATAACTAACTTAAAATTGTATGTTCATATTTTAAGTTTTCTTGACAGTTACCTTTTATAGGTATGGCATCCACAACACGTTCAGACTGCTGGGTCTGAGTTTTGCACTAACAGTCAGAATAAGCCATTGTTAGGACTGCTTTCTACTACCTAGATTATTATATGCATTATATTACCCGGATATGTCTTATCACTCCACATGATGGTGACTGCATCTTCAATAACATCTAGGCAACACATCCATGACTCCAGGGCAGGAACATTTCCAGACTCACTGACCTATTTTAACATCAAAACTTAGGAGGAGGTTAAAATATGTGTGCAGGCACCCTCTAAGTCATTAATAGAAATCATTTTACATTTGATCCAGAGGCTACCAGCCTGCAAAATGTTCTTACAATCCATCTTATCCACCTCCAAGGTCCTTGTTGGTCCAGTCATATTAGTTCTGTATGACAGGATTTCAATATTAAGAAGAAAATCATAAATCATATCTGCAGGTTAAAAAAGTTTTTTATGCCAGGTCCCATTCTGGATGAATGGATCCAGAGTTTGATCCAAAGATCCCACATTGAGGTTAAAGGCTAAAACTGAAAAAAAGGAAACAAAGAAATAAAAAGGAATTTAAATCAATCCACTTTGGGAACTGCATATTAACGGTTAGTTGACAATTTGATTAATATTAAAAGTAACTCCATAAATTATATTTTGTATTTAGAGAATAGTTGGGAAATATATATTTTACGCTGTTTGAGCATGAATTCGATCTGTTGTTGTTCACCAAATCAGTTAATCTTATGTTTTTGTTTTAAAGAAAATTAGAGACCTTCACTTAGCGGGATTGCACCCAGCATGACATGGCTGCACCTGTTCAGCCTGGCTTGGCCTTAGTGAAACGTGTAAAGCACCAAGCCTGGCTTCATCTCTTATCTTTTTAAATGTGCCCTTCAAATTCTAATCTAATTCTAAAACTTCTATAGCACTCTTTTATAAAAATTATATAGTAACACTAAAATATTCACACTCTACTTCAACCTTTAAACCTTGTTATGTTAAAGCCACTGATTGCAATCATTTTTTTTTAGAATTGAATTGTTACCTATGAATGTTTCTTTACTAATTTTCTTATGAAAAGGTTCAAATAAATCCCTTCAGAAATGACCAAATTCATGAATACTCAACATGTGTGAAATGTAATCTCTGTATAAACACAGCTGTTCTAGGGAGGCCTCAGTGCTCTGATAAAGAATATTAATAAGCTAAAAGCATCATTATGGAACATCTACAAAAACAACAAAACTTGGCCGTTTACCTAAACTGACATAGCTGAGATCAACTTCTAAGTTGTGAGAATCCTTTGACACAGCTTCTAATTATATAATCTATAATTCTGGGCATTATCAAAAAATAGCGAAAAACAAACTTGATATCAGCTGTAATGGTGGGGGCAGTTTATTTAACATCACATTGGCTAATAAAGCTTAATCATCTCTTCTTGTGTTAAATGTTAAAAGTTCAGTGGGAGTGAATTCTTAAAATGCACACTTTATTTAGTGGTGGTTTCTAGATGTTGGTTTATATATTATTGTTATTATTATTATGTTATTCTTTTTTGCAGAAAGTGATAAAAATGTCCTTGTGAGCCGAGCAGTAAACCTAAACATTGATGGTTTTACACTCAAACCAGCTGGTAAGCAGCCCTCTGATGTTTAAACTAATTTTTTAACCTCCCTGCCTGCTTACAGCAGTGCCTCTTGTTACACACCTTCTTTTGTAAACCCGTAAATTTTTATACCTCAAAGTTTTATCATCCACACACTCCTATTTCATGACCGCCACCCCTCATTCGTCTGTTTCCCCCTGCTCTCTCTGGCAATAGCCCACATACACAAACCACATATCAAGTCGTCTCATCGCCTGTGATCTTTAGCCAAGTTTCATTTTCCGGTTCAGAGTGTAAAGTTGACACAGAGGACCAGTTTGATCTAGGATGTCTGGATTTAATGTTGTGCGCAACTTTTCTTGGTTAGTTGTTGGTGTAAAGTTGGACATCTATCAATGGATGGAGAGCTTCATCAGCATCGAGTATTGGAAGAATGTAGGTAGATCTCTATCAACATAAAATGCTCAAGCTGTAGCTTCATGTCATTATTTGAACCTTTCTGCTTTTTTCTGTGTTTTAAGTGCAAAAATGAGATCTGCGGCTGTAGGAAAGATGATCCGGTAAGGTTGGTGGGGGGGTCATTTAATTGATGTTTTAAACAAAAAAGTGGAAAATCTATAGAAATATATATATCTGTGTAATTTCAGTATATACACTGTGTTCTGCTGGATGATGGGGGATTCATGGTGATGTCCAATCAAGTGGACGATCTCGATCAGGTGGGCCTCTGTATTCTAATTCATGATTGCTTAAAATGTTATTATCAGAGGTGTCAAGTCACAAGTACATATACTTTGTTACTGTACTTAAGTACACTTTTTAGGTATCTATACTTTGCTCCATTACTTATTTTTCTTCCTACTTCTGACTTCTACTCATTACATTTTCAAACAAGTATCTGTACTTTCTATTCCATTTTTAAAAGAAACGTTCCTCGTTACTCTTCGGCTTCGGTTTAATGTTTATAAATATTAATTTCATGTCATGTGCGCTATCCAACGCAGATCATTGGTGCCATCCACATCTAGTGAAAACTAGTGTAATTGGATGAGTCATATAACACAAGCACTCATTGTTTAGCTATTCGTCAAATTTGTGCTGACGCCAAAAGAAATCATCAGAAGCAAGCAGGTGTTCTTCAAACTGCAAACGCAAATTGTCTTTGCCATGGTACAATGTTGGATTCAGGAAAAGATGTTGAAATGTCTGAAAGGTTGGAAACAGGCGAGAGCGTATCGGGAGACGGAGACCAATAAGACCTCCCTCATCCTCCCTCCCTCATCCTTGGCCCTATCTCAAAGAATTCTTCTGAATAGTTGAAAAAATTTAGCTTTCAATTCATATAGGGGCATCTGGATGTTTTTTTAAAGTTATCAGAATCAGAAATACTTTAATAATCCCATAGGGAAATTACTTTTGTTACACGCTGCAGATACAAAAAATGTGTATATATAAATAAATAAATAAATAAATATATATATATATATATATATATATT